CTCCTCCTCATATTCACTAATACTTAGTAACTTCTTGAATTTTAGTGGCTTTATTGTCTTGCTTGGGGTGAAATGAGATGTGTGTGTGTGTGTAGGTCTTGCTCACCCATATCGTAATTATAAAATAAATGGATGTTTTACATAAATAATATTTATTTTTCAATAATCATCTTTCTCGTTAACGCACTTAATACAGTAATGAATATTAATCAGTGAACATTATAGTGACAATTTCAGATCAAAATTCAGTTCATAATTACATGTCAGGCTATGACTTATTGATGTACCTTTATACAGAAGAGAAAGGTGATGGTGAAAGTTTCTTTCTCTGACCAAGAAGTCCCCAAAATTACTCAGGTTTATTCATTTGGTTAGATTTTAGGTTGGACTAAACTTTTCAACATTACTTTTTACAAACACACAATCTCTAACCAAAATAATCAGATAAAGCACAAATAGGAAACGTGTATCAATCTACAATACATGTTTTCCTTTTATTAAAAAAAGTTTCATCAAGAAACATGTTAGAGATTGATAAACATTTCCTATTTGTTCTTTATCTTATTCTTTCTTATTCTGATCTATATTTGATTCCAACTCATACACAAACTTTTAAAAACTAAAAGGAATCATTCTGCATATTTTTAACTTTATCGTTGAAATAATTTTACTAATTTCTGAAAAATCTCACAAAAGTCTAATTATGTTACAGATTCCAAAGGTTCTAAAACTCTAATTTTGAATTTCAAACAAAGCTGTAAAACTCCAGCTATAAGACTTTCATTTTTTAACTATTTTTAAAACACACACACACACACAAGCTTTTCGTTTTTTTTAATCATTTCAATCCAAGCAAGGCGATTGAGCCATTTAAGACGCAAGTGGGTACTGAGAGTGACAGAATCTGAGAAAACAATAAAAGGATAAGGATTTCAAAGAGACAGATGATGATTGAAATTGATTTTATTTTAAAATTTTTGAAAATCAGTTTACAGGAAAGCAAGAAGAATGAATGTTAGTCTAAACATTCATTCTAACAGTTATAGCTTATGGGGTAAAGCTAGCAATTTAAACAGTAAAATCAGAACGCTTTTTTTTTAAAAAAAAAAAAAAAAAAGAAGTGAGCTTTCTTTCAGCAAGATGATAATCAGGAATTAATCAAATAAGGTAATATTTGAAATTTAACATTTGATATTAATTTTCCAAGGGTGTTGTTTTAGTGTAGATATTCAGACAGTAAGTGACAGCAAACAAAATGCATTATCACTTTAGTTTTTGCATAAATTAGAAATTAAATTTTTTAAATGAGACAGCAAACTCAATTTTCTGACAGTTTTTCAAGACTCAACAAGAGGAACATTGAAATTAAATTTGGAAAAATTTAGCTGCAAAGAGGCTAAGTGTATAACTCATTTTTATTTCATAATTCCCCTACACATGACTTGAGTATGTATTATAAAACTAAAAGACAATGTATCGACTTTTAAAAAAAGGTATCTTTAAGAAATCTGTCTAGTTTATTTCCGGTTGTAAGAAAACTGCCTAGTCTAACAAAAAAAAAAAAAAAAAAAGTTAAAATCACCTCAACAAGTCAGCGATAACAGAATTTTATATTGACATTTTTACTCATTATTTGCTTTTTTTGGAGAGGGAGAGATGTTGAATTTTTTCCACAAAGCCAAAGTTTCACTTCAGCCTGCCACAAGACTGGGAACCTAATGATCACTGAACAATAATGGCCCATTATTAATGGGTTACGAGATGTGATTGATTGATCCACTAAGAAGAGACAATCATATTTTTTATTATGAAAATTTAAAAATTATACAAATAAAAATAAAATCTTATTTTCACTCCAATAACCGTCAATGTTTTCATATTTGTCCTCACATATGGAAAAACTAGATCATTTGGTTGCGTAACAGGTAAAATTTGGTTGAATTCAAATCACTACACACACGATAATATTCTTAAAACAGATTTTTAGAGTTACTAAAATTCTACACTTGAGGCAACAAAAGAAAAAAAAGTCACTTTTTTTTTCGTGCTATTTCCAAAAACATGTTTCCAATAATTTAAGTTGCCATATGTTTTTTTTCTTTATTGTGAATCTGTGTTTTTTTTTTTTTATTTTGTTTATTGCAATTTATTTTTAAAAGCATTAGGAAATGCGTGGCCAAATTCATAGCGTTCTTGTTTGAAAACTGGAGACTAAAATAATTCTCTTTATTTCTGAGATGGGGTATTGTAATTATTTATTTAGTTACTTGTTACTATATTTACATTCTTCAGACTGTAAACGTCGTGAATATGGAGAAAAAAAAATCAGAAAAAAATATATAGTTGAAAATTTTGCATAAAAAAAATAAATGAATAAATTAAATAACATCAGAAAGTGACATTTTTTCCGTTAACTAACACAAAAATAAAATGGTAATTTAAGAAATTATGATGTCAACAATGAAAATTTATGGAAGTATAAATGGGCCAATTTTTCTGCTTACGCCTGCGTAGGTACTACGCAGTGAATTAGTAATTATGATGGCAGTAATGGGGAACGAATGACCAACAAGATAACTCCAAAATTATGAATGTTTCTTCATAATTTAATTAATTGTTAATTCGACTTCAGCAAGTACATTTGCACGGAATTATGACGATTTTGGAAAAATTTTAAGGGATATTAGCGCTCGGGATACAAAACCAAAATTTACCAAAATTATAAAATAAATGTTTGCTCTGTAAATAGAAAAAAAAGTAAAAGGTGTCGTTAAAGCGCTTGCGGCTTGCTTGAGGGACAATTTTTCTTTTCCTTGGGCCCTGCGTAAAAAGAACGCTGCCGCGCACGCTGACAATTTCCAACGTATTTTAAAAACATTACTTTTCTAAGCTTCATTCGATGCTCTGTACGTGTGTATACTGTAGTGCACCTGGAGACTGCAGTGACAACAAGAAGAAATCCTTTTTTTTTAAAATTAAATTTATGATTTCTTGTTTTTTTTACACTACAGTACACTTAGGTATCGTCGTGAGATCGCTGAAAAATGAGCATAACAAAAACGGCCTTAAACTTGACGAAGCTAAAATTTTATCGTCAAAAGGTGAGTTACTTTATCCCCAAATAGTGTCACTAACATTTTTCTTTTTTTTTTTTTTTTTTGATAGTGTAATTATATCTGCTGTGTATTTAAAAATATACAAAAATCTAAGAGATTTTAATCAGCATTGAAGCTAATTAAATAAAAAGGGCAGTTTTTTAAAGATTTCAAAATGTAAATATTGGAGTTATCTGCCCCTGAATTTCCCCGAAAGCTGAATGAAGTTTTTCTTTAAATGAAATTACTACCAAATGAAAGTTTTAATTTTATCAATACATTTTTTAATGTACTACAACTAAAACTACGAAAATCAGAGGAGATTAACGTCTACAAAGACGTCATTTTTTTCATAAGAGTTCACTCCAGCTAAGGTTCAGTTCATTCCTGATATTTTTTTTCTTCGTTTAATTGATTTGTCAGGTAGAAAAAATAAAAACAGTATGCTAAAGTAAAGTGAAGACAATTTATAAAAACAAAATGTAATCAACACATTAACGACTGATTAGTGTGTAGTCATTGTTTGCGAAAACTGCCGCTGGCAATCATTTTTAGTACAAGACAAAGAAAGTGAAAAAAATTATAAAAATATATACTTTTTTTGTTTTTTAGTTAAAAACAAAAATAAAATTTAAAGTTCATGAATATCATGAGACGTAAGCGATGTGGAATTGTCTTTATTTCGATTTTATTAAGTTCTGCTTATTTTGTGACTGCCAATCTAGGGCATTCGATGAAGATCGAATCTACTGAGGCATTTTTTTTCTATTTAGTTATCGCACTAGGGTAGGCGGCCAGATCTTTTGGGAAAGGGAGGTAGAGAAGATTTCATTAAGCATGCATATTTAAAAAGGTTTTTTTTTCTTCAATTTAATGTCAATAAATAATCCGTGTTTAAATTAGTATATAATATAGTCAAGTTTCTGTTACCGAGTATCGAGTCATTGAAATATCAAATTCAAAATGAAAAAACTGTATGGATGCTATTGAAATTGAATATTGTCTTCACTCGATATGTCAGGTTTTTATTTACCCTTCCTTCTTTCAATCAACATGACCAAAACTGTTGACGAGAACTCAGCAATTTTATGAATTATGTTATTCTTACAGCTTAAAAGAATAAAATTGCTTAAAACAGAGAAAGATCTACTCTAGCAAAATAAAGTAAAAAAAGTCATTTTATATTTTTTATAATTTTTAAGTCAACATTTTCTTTGTAATTCGATTTAGAATTTTTTTAAATGAAAAAAAAAAAAAAAAAAAAAAATGTCCAACTAGCTCTGTGCTAAAAAGATACAGAAGAACAAATTTTAAAAAAATAAATGGAGAAAAATTCTTTTACTAAAGAAAGGAGGATAGACAGTTACAGTGGCTCATCGGTTACGCACATCAATCATCTCTAAATTCAAAGACTGGATTTTCAAACTGCATTTTGTTTCTTATAAATTATTATAAGGGTTAACGTTAAATACAATAGACTAAAATTTTCATATAAATAAAAGAGGTTTAATTTGCATCAGTTATGGTTACAAACGGTTTTTAAGTTAAAAGGTTTTCACTACTGACAGTTGCAGTTCTGCTCACATAAGTTTCAGTTATTTGAGATCAAAAGTTTAGAGAGATACAATGCAGTACACTGTACACATAAAAAAGATATATGAAGAAAGACTTTTTTTTTTTTTAATTTACCGAAGAGACAGAAGTTGTCAAGTCCAGTTTTTTTAAGGGGAAAAAAATAAAATGCTGTCGGTGACAAAAAGAACTTACAATAAGGATTATAATTAGTTTGAGTTGACTTTTAAAAAAATTTGTTACAAAATAAATAAATAAAAAAATAAAAAAGCAGGACTTGATCAAAGCACATTTTAAATTTTACTCAGAGAATAAGAAAGTTTATCTTCTTACCTGTGTGAGCGTAAGATACAGAAACCTTCCATATACTAATATGTGAGGACAGGGATGCTAAAAATTTGCCCAGGGCAAGAGGTAAGATTACAGACAAGTAATAAGCTCGCGGAATATTGCTAGTTCGTCTTGTGGAGGCTTGGCATCGTAATAGTGGGGCCAGGTATAAAGAAATGGACAAAAGTTGGGCCATTGTGACAGTCATCGGATAGGGAAAATCAGTCAGTAACATTTTGCCAACAATATTGCCGCTGGCGCTGGAAGCATACCACATGATACATAATCCAACGACTTTTACAGCGTCGAAAAATGTATTTTCATCCGGCATTGGTAATATACAAGTGTGATCAATAAGCCAAGAACGTTCCCATTTCTGATAATCTTGTGTGGATTGCAACAGCCGTCGCTTGTCACCTGCAACTGATGTGGACACGTTGAAGTATTGTCAAAATTGTTTCCAAAGGGTGGGAGGTTGTTGTGAGTAATCTCCCCTTAGTTAATCTCCCTGTTTAAAACTTAAGAAGTCTACGTAGGTTTTTATGGAGTACTTTGTCTGTGTGTGTGTCATATTGCTGCTTATGATGCTGTTGTTAGGTTTACGGTTCTGTTTAAATTTTTTTTAAAAGAATTACTTTTATTGTGGAATGTGTTAGATCTCGCTTTGGTGTCATTGTTTATACTTAGATTTTCTAAAAATATGTGAAATGCTTTTGCTTGTAATAACCACATTCCAAACAAAATTATACAACTTAATTACAAACAACAACAAAAAAAGTTCAACAAGTAGTTTTTTTTTTAGGGTTGCCAAGCATCTCGGCGGTACCTTCAAAGATTTGCTAAAAAATGAGTATACACACGATGAAAAAAATGCCCCAAACATAATAAAAACAAATTTATATCGTCAAAATCTTTGTTATTGTTAGTAGGAAAGATCAAAGGATTTTTTTAAATCTTAAATTATATTTTTTTAAATTTTATCCATAACCTTCAAAATTTGGGTTAAAAACTTTTTTCCTTGCATAGTGGGGGTCACTATATAAATTTAATTTATTAATATGGGAAATTTTAACGTCTTTTTGCGGTCAAAACTGGATTGATTTGTAAATTCTTGCAAAAATTAAATAATTGTCGGATTTTAATGAAACTGTTGGGTCAACCGGAAGTTGCCATCTCAAAGTCACTAGTCAAATGACCAAACAATATCAAGGGGCCTGTTCAGAGGTGGCAGGTTACTCTGAAAGACTCATAATTTCAATAACACCTCAACAGTGTGTGTATATGAACTTTTCTCTTCTTCCCAAGGGTTTTTATTAAGCACACAACATGGTATAGAAAACATTAAATAAATGGTTATTTGTTATTAAAAAAAAATCTAGTTTTCAGTTTCATTCTAAAATTCACTATTTAATTTTTTTAATGCATTTAAATCATCAATATTCTTTTTCTTTTGTAATACAGGACACCCAGTTACAGAAAATCTACTCTCAGTCATAAAATAAAAAAAAAAATGCAATAAAACTAAGACATTATTTAATTAGAAAAGTTTTTAATTGTTTTTATGAATAAGATATATGTACACTAGTGTCTTAATAATAATAATAATAATAAAAACTTTCATTGAAGAGAGAATTTTTAAAAGAATTGTTTTTATTTTTTAAATTTTAGTTAGAATAATTTATAAAGTTTTAAATCTTTTAAAATTTTGTATTAATATGTACTAGTTAGGTGATATTGTTATTAAGTAAAAACTATATTTACTAATCATAAATAGAAAAGCTTACAACAATTCAGTAACCCCCAGTATTTTAAAAAGAATTTTGAACTTTTTTGTGCGTGTATAAATATGCCGATTTTTGTAAATATGGACGTTCATACACAAGATAAAAAACTATAACTATAGTAAATTTAAAGTCAAAGTCCCGAAAATTCAATAAAATATTAGATTACTTAGAATATGTTCTTAAATTTTTAAGATTACTGGGTAATTAAAAAAATATATAATAATGGTTCTCAATTTATATTCAAGTAATTTTTACAGATATGTCCCACATAGAAAAATTTCCAAACAAAAATCTATTGAGATAGTTGTCAATACCTCATAAAAACATTCACATCCATTTAAAAAAATGCTTTTCTGCAATATTTTAAACTAAAAGTAAGTAATATTTGTTTCAAATCAGATTAATTAAACTTTAAATCAACTAATATTCCTCAAATAAAGTTTCAGAAAAGTATATTTTATTTTTGAAAATTTTTTAAGAGAATTACATTGTGCTGATATTTGTAAATATGGCTAAAATCAGCCACATTTAGTGATTAAAATAAAATAATATTCCAATCAATTTAAATTTTGAAATACAGCAAAATATTTTGCTTATTGGAAATATTAAATTTAATCTACTAGCTTGAAATTAAAACTAAAATAAAAGCTTTAAGAAAGATTTTTTAATTTCAAAAATTCATTTTAAACCTTAGATATCACTTTTCCTTGAATGTACCTTTCTGTATGTACAAGAAATATTAATGTTAATAACTGTATATACAGGATATATTAATGTTAATGACTGTATGTACAGGATATATTAAAGTTAATAATTAATTTTATCAGGACACACTAATTGACCTGCATTTAACTTTGAATAAATAAATAATATGCAAAATTTAGTGGTCAGTAGTTATTTATTTATCTGTATATTTAGTCAAACAAAATATAGCACAAGACTGAGTTTAAAGTTCCAAGCACACATGGGACCAAAAATCGCAAATAATCATAGGGACCTGTAGGGATACTTCAAAGACCATGGATTAATGCTAGCTATTTCCATTGGGAGTGGTAGTGCCTGATTGGAATGCCCCCATCTAGGAACTTACAAATTCAGCTGTTTGGGATATATCCAAATGCCCACTCTATCAGAATATAGCAGAAAGCTGAGTTAAAGTACCAGTCTCACGCATACATAGGACCAGAAGCCCAAAATTGTCCAGTCTTTTTGGGAACAGCTCAGGCACAAGCAATTATCCCTAGTCCTCCCCCTTGGGAGAGATAGTACCTGTCTTGAACATCCCCCACCTCCAGGAGCTGGGCTTACAAAATTTAGCAGTTAAGAACTTGCCAATATTTTTTAGCATATGCTTGTGGGGGTTATCCATCTTGTATGCTAGAACACCCTCCAAGTGGTGCTATTGAATATAAAAAGATGGGACAATAAACCCTCTTACTCTTTTGCACTGAAATGTAATAGCAATAAGAACAGCACTTCTCTTCACCAGGGGAGATTTTGCCACCCAGCAGGCCATCTTGTTAATTTCAGCCAGCCACATGGCTCATCACACATTTTCTAATAGCAAAGCTTATAAATGTATCACTGTCTTGCCTTGTTACATACTAAGTTCATCCCATGAGTAATTTGATTTCAATTTATGTATGCAAGTAAGTAATGACTTGAATTAAAGTTTGAACAGAATGTTCTATAATTCTTGTTGGTAAATCTGATGACCCTAAGTGTTTAATGATTAAACAGCAGTATTTTACATTCATTTTTATACTAGATCAGGCTTTCCATGTTGTATTTTCAATAATATCAGAAGAAAGAATTATGTGCAAGGTTTTCTGCATTAGGCAGTGTTGAATATTGAATACATTTATTTATTAAATTTTGAAAACAAATTAAATGCACTACTCTTGATTCCTACTTGTCTCATTTGTATCTTGTAACTTTTTTTTGCATAATATTGGATTTGTAGTGAGTTCCGATAAAAATAAAATATAGAAACAAAAATAAAAAGAATTTCCTTTAAAACTCTTATTTCCTCTTTTTTCTCTCTCTCTCTCTATATATATATATATATATATATATATATATATATATATATACTTTTATCTCAACTAATGAGAAGGCAACCCTCAAATGAAAAGAGGAAAAAGTAGAAAAGACTGAACCTGGTCAAAAACACTGGAAGTTTGCAGAAGCAGAGCCTAATTATTTGTGACTAAAAAATACCAAAAATCAGGGTGGCCCCACACATAACTTGTTATTAAAAAAATGCAAAAGAAAGGAAATAATTTGGACAATCCAAAAAATTGGCACAAGGAGACTTTTCATGTTAGCTGAAACCAATGTTCACACCCAATTCTCAAGCCTGATCAAAGTATATAAACCTGATACCTCTGAGCTAGAGGCAGAAGGCTAACAGAAGATAGAACAAAGGAACACTGCCACATAGAAACCAGCCATATGTGACGTGAAGAAGCAGTTAAGAGGTTATCTGCTATTGATATTTCTACCTTGTTCAGTAGATTGACACTGATCTAATTTCTGAGCTTACTTCTACTGTGGTCTTACTTCAAAACACAACTACCGGACCTTTCTCCAGACTGCTACCAATATCTGCCTTATAAACAAACTTATGTGCTACATTGAATACCAAAGGACTCACTCATCACTCTACAGAAAATAAATAAAAAGGAAAAAGAAAAGAACCACAGGAAAATAAAATAATTTAGACAATCAAAAAAACTGACACAAAGAAATTTTTGATGTTAGCTGAAACCAATGTCCATGACAATTTCTCAAGCTTGATCATTCATTTTATTCCAACAATTGCAAGTAAAGAAAATCCTACCAACAATATAATATCTACAAACTCAACAACTGACAAATTATGAAAAAATGTACTTTTTTTTTAAAGTTTTGAGTAAACGTAATGTATTTTCTTAATTTGTGCATCTATGTATGTATGAATGAATGTATAAAATTTGTGAAAAAGCAAAGTATTTTAAAAAAAAATCAGTTTTAAAAATTAATGTACTTTTTGTAAAAAATTAATGTATTTTTATGTGTTGTAACTTTTTTAAAGTATTTTAAGATCTTTTTATTTTTTTGTGAAAAATTAATGTATTGAAATTTTTTTTTATTTCAAAAATTAATGTGTTGTTTAAATTAGTGAAAAACAAATGCATCAGTTGTGTCCTATAACATTCTTTCATAACATTGGAATCAACAATTGACAGTTCTGGAAAAAAAATAACATATTTTTCATGAAAAATTAATGCATTTAAAATTTTCTTTTTAAATGAAACATTGTTTTTTGAATGTGAAAAATTAATATATCATTTGCAACCTGTAGCTTTTTTCTTAGTATAAAAATCAACAATTGACAATTTGTGAAAAATTAATTTATTACAAAAAAAATTCTGATATTTGGTCATTTAGTCAGTTTTTTAGGAAAATTGGTTATGCCGAGAACTTTTCAGCATTCCTTCATATTACTCCT